CCTAGACTTTTTCTTACACTCAATGTAGTTTAGACCTCCCTTTCACTAAAGCAAATACCGTTAGTTTCTGTAAATTTGCGCCTTCTACCCCTGACGGGCTACCTTCATACCCCAAAGGTGCACGAATGATGGGCGGTTAGGCAGGCCGACGTCAATCGGCCCAAAAGGTTTCCGCCAAGATCGCTACTCAAGTGTACAGGGCTATGATCGACATGGCAAGAGAGGACGCCTTTTTTTCATCCAATCACATCATATCGTGAAAGCCGTTTCTGGTCCCTGAAGGCAATTTGCCTATGCAGATAACGTGAAGAGCGATGGTCGACCGATTGTCGATAACAAGCCCATTCGCTGGTTTATATCGATCTAGAACCTTTATCGACTCTTGTAACTGTAAACATTGAGAATAACACAGTACACAAATTCTGGAAAACGCCGAGAAATTGACCTTTCTTCCAATCGCTCTGCACCTTTCTCCCCGCATATCAGTGTCTGGACAACGCTATATTCTGTATATTTGCGAAATCGATTGCTTGACCCATATCCATTCAACTCCATCTGTTGACCAGCTTATAACTAAAAATTCATCTTGCGGTATTTTCCGAATTTGGTGCTGAGGCTGGAAGGGCGTGACCGAATGACTCACACGAAGGGCGCATTTCAGCTCGGTTAGGACAGCATATACGATGGCTGCTGAACGTACCCGATTGGACAACAGACATATCGTTAGTCTCCTCTTTACTATTATAACACTATTGCAACGTTACGACCCTTTTGTTTAGTAATGAAAATGGTCGTTTGGAGCAACATAAGGTAACGTAACCAAGCCAAACGTTACCTGCATGCCAAAAGGGTTCGTAGTGGCACGAGTAGTAAAATCGGTTTATCATGGACTCGGCCCTCTCTCATTCATGTTTATTCTTATCAGAAGAGCTATACGACCCAACCCCACCGGATAAGCCTATGCAAAGACTCTGAACCATGTCTGAATTAAAGATCGCCTCAGTACAGTTCGAAAACTGGTCCGGAAGCAAAGACAAAAATCTAGCCATCATTCGCCGGATGGCAAGTGAGGCAGCGCTTCTAGGTTGCAAGGTTGCAGCCTTTCATGAATGCTCCATCACAGGCTATACCTTTGCTAGCCGACTTTCCAAACAAGAACTCCTCGAAGTATCCGAAGAGGTCCCGGCTGGTCCAAGCACTTCTTCCTTAGTTCAGATCGCCCGCGAGCTAGACATTGCTATTCTAGCTGGTCTCTTTGAGAAAGATGAGAATGGCTGCATCTACAATACCTATGTCTGCGTTGATAGCACCAGAGGTTTTGTAGCCAAGTTTCGCAAATTGCATCCTTTCATCAGTCAATATCTGAGTGCCGGCAACGAATACGTCGTGTTTGACCTGCTTGGTTGGAAATGCGGTATTCTCATATGCTATGATAACAACGTTGTCGAAAACGTCCGGGCTACAGCGCTTCTGGGTGCTGAGATTATCTTCATGCCGCACGTAACAATGTGCACTCCATCAACTCGTCCTGGAGCCGGCTTCGTCGATCCTTCACTATGGACCAATCGACACCAGGATCCTACTCCTCTACGTGCCGAATTCCGCGGCTTGAAGGGTAGGGAATGGCTTATGAAATGGCTACCAGCAAGAGCCTACGATAACGCCTTCTATGTTGTCTTCTCGAATCCAATTGGCATGGATGATGATCAATTGAAGAATGGTTGTTCCATGATTCTTGATCCATTTGGAGATATTCTGAGCGAATGCTCTCTTCTTGATGAGGATATGGCTGTTGCAACTTGTACCAAGGAGAAACTTCGATTGGCAGGAGGGCATCGATATAGACAAGCTCGACGGCCGGAGCTGTATCGAGAAATTCTCGGATCAGATCACAACTCATCTCTCAATGTGTCCTGGTTAAGCAAGTAGCAGACTGTTTCTCAGTTCCGTGTCCAGCGATGATGAGCCCCAGCTGGCACGGGATTCATTCATCAAAAGACACGGTCGCGTGGCCCAATGGCAAGGCGTCTGACTACGAATCAGAAGATTCTGGGTTCGATCCCCAGCGTGATCATTCTTTTTGCTCGTCGAACCACTTCCAGATAGCCTGCCGTTGACCATGAATCTGAATTTTTACCATTCTCTCGGTCCCGAAGCTGGTGCTCTAATATTTCAGTGACAATGTCATATTCTCGTTTTATTAAGTAAATATCTGAAACAGAATTTTATGTGGTGATGGTTTTAGTGCGAGGTTTCCGTATTAGTGGATTGGTGCACCATCTGCAAAACGCGTGGTTTTGACGCTGCCCTGCTCGCAAACCTCCACTTTTTACTCAAGTTAAAGCGATAATTACCGAAATGCAGCCTTCATCCAGGACATGATACAAATTGATTAGAAGAAAAGCATGAAGTTCCCAATCTATATGCTATTTCATTATTATTTACTAGAATTCATGTTGTTGATCTATGCCAGTGCGGCGTTGATAATAAATGCAAAAACCATCATGTACGCCAGGCTTGTCGGCATGCTCCCCGTCGCTCCGTTGTCTTTATCCTCACCAGCCTTAGCTGCAGTAGACGTAGGTGATGAGCCAATACCAGTGGTATCCGCCGGTTTTAGTCTACCAAAGCTTTGTCTCGCAGGTTATTTTGGTTGTTGACCGCAATGGGATAGTCTAAGTGACAAGGGGTCCTGTATACTTGGCTTTGTTGACACCACCGAACAGGAACTCTCCGTGAGTCTCGTTGTTGAACCACAAGTTGAATGCAGGAGTGTTGATCTCTCCTGCGTCTGCCAAAGCATAAGGGAGATTGGGGTACTTGATCTCGGCATGTTCCAGAGAGTAGAGTCCAACACCGAAAATGCTAAAGATACCAGCAGTCGTGGTATTAAACTCGGTCGTACCGACAAACTGGAAAGAATCCAGCTCGACAGATTCAAGGAAAGAGGTGTCGTTAGCATAGATACCTTCCCAGCTTTCGCCGCTACCGAAACTACCAGATACTTGCTCTTCATCCCACTCGAACGTCTCTGACTTTTCCGGGTTGTAGACACCGCCTTGGCAGTCCCTCTTCTTACAAGTCTCGATTTCATTGGTGAGCAGGAGCAAGTCGGCGCTTCCGGGGTCGATTTCAGCGGAGAGCTTTTAGGGCGGGTTTCCAATGGTGAAGTTTGCCTAGTAGAGGAAGCCTTGCTAGTCCACCTTCATCTCGACGATGTCATCGTTGTCGCGTTTGCCATGGGGGAATGAGACATCTTTTGTACGCTTCTCAAAGTCCACGGAGACGACCGTTGGATTGTTGCGCTTGTTGAGTTTGAGACAACTGGCGTAACTCAGAATAGTACTGGAAAGAATGAGCGATGACCCCTTCATTGTGAACGAGATGGAAGTTAGAAAGCAGGGAGATGAATCAGAGAGAAAGAAAAAAGAATGCCAAATAGAACTATCCAGATACTCTTGGCAACATGTCTAAACTCCCTTGATATATATTTTTTCCATTGCTGGTCCCAACGATTCTCGCCACCTTTACGCTGCTGCCCGTTTCCCTCGGGACCGAGGGTTTGGGGCTTTTGACCTGCGCCTTAGATTACAGTGGAAACAGGGTCGTTTCAATTCTTATTCATTTAGATGCGATCGTTTACTGACCAGTCGTAGCAGATGGAATAAATGGACTTGTTGGCTAGTTCCTTGGGCCGATCCTTGCGTTTTTGGTCCCCAGCTCAAAGGAGCAAGTGGGAGGGCATATTCTCGGTCCCGATGTTGTGATTTTTAGCCTTACAGGGCAGGGATCATAGATGCAGTTTTCGGGAGTGGCGACGGTTAGCGTTAGACCCCTGATCCATTTTCTCACTTACTTCCGAAGATCGAAAATCTGGTTTGCGATTAAGTGGCAAAGAATCTGACCGTAATCTCGTTGAGTGGGCTTTCTTTGCCAGTTCTCCATGTAAGCCAGTGTTTTGCAGTCTCCATGATCCCCACATGATCAGTGATCCTTGTTGATTCTGCTCGTCATACCCTAGAGCTTGACATTTGCAATTATTAGACCTAAGAGGCTTACCACAGAGCAGAGGAAACGCTCTGTAGCTATATTCATGGCTTGTGGGAATATCGGGATTTATTTTAATGGCGATGTGAAGTGACTAGTAAGATACATTACTAGCATACCAAGGTTCACATGTCGATATGTAAAGAGGGTTCCCAAACATAGGTTCTCATTGCAATTTAATGCTGTGTTGAATCCACTTGGAGGTCTATGATAGAGACCTTAAAGCCAGAGCCAAATGACTATGGACATCAAGTTAATCAGGAGATATTGACTGGCAATGTATGCCATGTGACCAGAGAAACAGTAGCAAGCCAACGTGGAGAGACTCGCATGAATATAGACCAAAACAATCTTGCTGACTAACATCAAATATCCGGTGTGGTGTATCGGTTATCATTCCGCGTTTTCATTACGAAAATCCGCGGCGAGGAGGGTTCGACTCCCTCCATCGGAGTTCACTTTTGCATTTTTTGTTATTTCTATTGCTATTCTTGGTATGTGCCGGAGCATACAGTATCTCGGCGTTCGCCGGGATTTGCAACTGTGGCGGCCATCCCTTGTTTCACTCTGTGCTTATTGAGACTCAGCCACCAAGCAACGCCTTGGCCAGCCACAACACCAGTAAATACCAATCCGATACAAGGAACTTGTCGTTTGTCAAGCAATGGCTTCACAAGTGCGACACCAATTGACCTGTAACCAATACAAGCGCTCCACGATAAACATGCATTGTGACAATCTAGAGTCAACTAATGAAATTGAATGTTCGGCGAGAAACTTTGCATAGGAAAAGGTCGAGAATGTAAAATTGGCACCCTTGTCAATTACAATGCGAAATGCCAGTCGCTTATGGGAAGCAAAAAAAAGAGCAAGCTGCTGTCTGGCTCTACACCAACGACGTCATGAATCACGATAAGAAAAGTGTTTTCAGCAATATTGAAAATACGCAAAAATGGAGGCTGAGGGATTTGAACCCCCGACCTTTCGCAGGCATTCGAAACAATGCAAAGCGAACGTGATCCCCCTACACCAAGCCCCCGATTGGATGCTGACTCAGGTGAGTATTAGAGACTATGTTCGAACGCCTTGTTCGAGAGCAAGGTAAATCCCAAAAATGAGATCAAAGACCTCACGCGGCAAATACCATGCTTGTCTTTTCACAAAGAACGTTATTATTCAATAACTGTAAATAACCCTTGGCTAAATAAACCGCCGATCAAGTTGCATTTTGACCTTCTTTCAATCTAGCCTCCCTGTTTAACGTTACTACGTAGTACAGTTATGATCACTTGGGAGGTACTGACCAATAGTGCTTGTGATTAATGCCCCGACCGTGCATGCCAGCATCTGTGTCAAGCAAGGATCCATGTTTAGATCATTTGTTAGTACAATAACACAAGACGGCTGATTTGTAAGAATCCCCTATGAATAACGTTATGCAGAATCCCTCGCTTGTTAAGGTAGTCACAAGCCACCAAGTTACAGCTGTGATCACTTAGGAGACACTGACTAATAGTATTTGTAATGCTTCGGATTAATGCCCCGACTGTATATGTCAGCATTGGAATTAAAAAGCATCCTCAGGTCTCGGAGCAATAACATAGATCACCCGTAACTACAAAAAACTGGAGTCATCTCTAGTTCCCCAGAATATTGTCTTTAATCCCTGACGGTTTTTTAACAAACATGCTGCCATAAGCAGTTAGTTCTGAACTAGTAAATGTGGTGAAACAACTCATGGGAAAGGGCTGTTAAAACGGTGGCTGACGTGATATCGTAAATTTGAGGCTAAAGCAGTGTCTTTGTTGGTGGTGTTATGCGCTGTTGGTCATGCCAAGCCATGGACCCAGGAAACGAATCAGAGTGTTTCGTTATTGGCATATACTTGATCGGCTTATCCACACCGACAGTGATAACCCCTCATCAAGGAATGCGGTTGTGGCTTCATTTCTTTGTTCTTGGCCGTGACGCAGTCGAAGTATATGAGAGCCGACGGCCTCTCTCCTTTGGACTTTGAGAATCAGCTTTTTTTTTCCTTTTTACACTTCACACCTTTTCCAAACCATCTTCAAATATGTCTACTCCTCAGTCTATCCTGTTGAAGAACGCTACTATCCTTGTGCCCAAGGGTCCTGGAAATGATCATGTCATTCCGCTCAAGAACCATTCACTGTTGATTGAGGGTAGCAAGATTGCTCGCATTTCTCCTCACATTGAGCCCCCTTCTGAGTCAACTCAAGTCATCGACTGCACATCAAAGATAATCTCCCCAGGCTTTGTCGATACTCACCATCATGTTTGGCAGACTCAGCTCAAGGGAAGACATGCCGATCACACTTTGATAGAGTACATGGCACCAGGTTAGTGAAACCCGACTGACCAAAGACTCAATTGTTGACCATATGTGTCCTAGGAAACATGGCCGCTCACAGCTACAGACCAGAAGACGTCTTCTGGGGCCAGCTGGGAGGATGTCTTGAGGCTTTAGAGGCGGGAACCACCACGATTGTTGACCATGCTCATATCTCTTACTCCTCAGAACACAGTAAGTACCCTTGATTAATATCTAGCCGGCGGTTTGTGACTAATGAGTGTCTTTAAGACAATGTCGCTCTATCAGCAACCATATCATCCGGAATCAGGTCAATCTACTGCTACTGTCCCATCACCAGAGTCAAAACCTGGAAGCCTTTTGCACTTGAAGAAGAGATCCTCCCCAACTGGCTGCTCGAGAAGTTGGCAGAACTATGCAGGGCTGGTCCGTTCGGCAACGGTCGCGTGACAATGGGCTTTGCATTCGATTACTTCTTCCTTCCGAAAGAAGTAGTTGTTAACATCTTTAGCCAAGTGCGAAGCTTGGGTGTAAAGACTATTACATCTCACTATGTTCCTAGTCTTTTTGGTGAGTTCATGTTCGCTTTTGGGTACGTCAATTGCTGATGAAGCGACATACAGAGGCCTCAACTGTTGATTTGCTTGAGAGTTATGGCCTTTTGGAGAAGGATATTCTTCTTTCCCACGCCACCCCACTCAATGACTCGGATGCACAGAAGCTTCAGAAGGTTGGAGCATCAATATCTTCAACTCCGGACACTGAGCTTCAGATGGGTCATGGTTGGCCCGTGTGCTTTCAAGAAAATGCCAAGTCGATCAGTTCCCTCGGCATCGACTGCCATAGCAACAACACTGGTAGTATCGTCGCGCAGATGAAGGTCGGCCTGCAAGCTGAGCGTGCCCGTCACAACGACCGCATTCTTGAAACTGGCAAGGTCCCTGCTAGAGTGCAGGTTCACGCCCAAGACGCATTCCAACTCGGAACAATTGGTGGTGCAAGGGCGATCAAGATGAGCGATCAGATTGGCTCTTTGGAGGAGGGTAAGATTGCTGATCTTGTCATCTGGGATACTTTGAGCCCTGCGATGATCTGTGCTGCTGAGGAAGATCCGATTGCTGCCATTATACTGCACTCTGCCCCTTCAGACATCGACGCTGTCATTGTTGATGGCCAGTTTAGGAAGCGCGGTGGACAATTGGTATCTACCAAGCTGGATCTCGAGCTGATCCCTGATATGAAACTCGAGAAGACCGAGACGCAGTGGCGTGACGTTGCGATTGAGCTTTTGAGAAGCCGTCAGAGGATTTTGGAGGCAGAAAAGGCTAGTGGAGCTGATGATAGAGAGGCAGGCCTTGAGAACGGATTAAGGACACTTGGAATTAAGAAGGATAAACTGGTCTACTAGTATGTATGGTTTAGGTAATACCAACTAGCCGTAGAAGAGAAAGTAATTCGATGACTCAAGATAACAATAGTTCGCCTAATGATGCAACATCTTCTGAACATGGTTCCAGTATCTCGGAGCAGCTTGTCTTCGTAAACCCTTGCCTTTCCAAATCATGAACAGAAAAGTGCTAGTACACCCAAGTGACAAGAATCCAGCCATGATGAAACAATTCTGCAGACCCATGTTGACATACCAGGGAGTGATGCCATACGAGATAGCGAAGCCGAGCGTATTGCGAATGATGATGATAGAGGTAGTGGTGTCACCGCTGATGTCCTTGAAGCAATCAACATTGTAAGAGAGAGCGATTGACCCGCCTGTAACGCAACTGAAGGTCAGTACCATCAGTCCAACTGCAAGACCAGCCCAATGAATGTCGTTATCGGCACCGACACCCCAGACAATGAGCCCGACACAGGACAAGAAGGCCGACAAAGCCAAAGGCCAAAGTCTCTGCTCGGGTTCTCGAACACCATGGTTCCTTCGGGCAAGTGATAAAGTGATGCGATCGGCAATGACACCTGACCACAAACATCCAAGAACAGCCCCGATGATGGGACCGACATAGATCAAACCGACCATGCTGGTGGACCAGTTGTATGGAGAAGCGCTAAGAATAGGGCTCGTGGTCGCGTTCAAGACGTTGTACCAACACAAATTGATACCGTAAATGAAACCTGCCCAGGCGACGTTGGGGAAGAGCACCATGAGTGGAAGTGGCGTTAACATGGACTTGAACATGTTTGTTTTGCTTGGGCGACCATCCTTTCTGGCAAAGAGCTTGAGGTGAGTGGCAAGACTCTTCTTCGTATGTATTGTGCCTTGAAGCTGATCGTTGTTGACGGCGCCGGTGCTACCGTACTTCGCACCAGACTTTTCTGGGTTGTTTTGAGTCGAACTGAGGCCGTTGTCCGCTTGACCTTTCACAAGTTCATCCTGATCTTCAAGCCCCTCGAAAGTTGGACGGAAGTAGATTGTCTCTTCCATAAAGAAGAAAAGAATGACAAAACTGAAGGCAGCGAAAATGGCACCAAAATGCATGGTCCAGCGCCAGCCATACGCATCTGCAAAGAAGCCAGCTACCACAGGTGCCAAGAAATTTGAGCCAAACAAGGCAAAGACATATAAACTCATCCAAGTTCCTCTCTCATGCGCAAAGAAAATATCAGGGATACTGACTTCAGGCAGCGATTCAATAGGCGAGACGAAAAAGCCGAGCAGGATGCGATGAGCGTACCACTCCCCAGCAGAACGCGAATACGCAGTCCAGACCATCAAAGGAACAGCAGCGACAGTGGAAATGAGGTAAACTCCGCGTCTGCCATAAGTCAAGGCGATAGGTTGCCAGAAGAGACAACTCCAGCCGAGGAAGAGAAACATGACGCCGGTGCCTTGAACCAAGTCTGCGATAGAAATGCCAGTGTCTTGGGAGATTTCGACAAGGACTGAATACTGTAAAGTAGACGGAAGGCCTACGCCGAGGGTGTAGACAAACACCATGGCGGCAGAGATTAGCTTGCGACGTCTGTTCCAATTGAGAGGGTCTTCCGGATCGTCGCTGGGACGAGGGACGAGTTCAATGTCATTGCTAGTGTCGCGACCGGCGTCCACGAGGTGAACTGTACCGGGGACGACCTCTGAGTAGGCTTGGGCCATCGTGCGTATCAGGGGATGATATATGCAACCTGTTGAGTTGAGTTACAAGGACGGAAGAAGAGCTGTCATATATCCGCTGTTAATTGATACCAGAGCCCAGGTATATATGTACGCGGGATGATAGGCATTCATCGCTTAATCTTTCTCTATCATGGCCCACTCCACCATGAGATATCGTTTCTCGGACGTAAGGAGCGCTTCCAGCGACGATCTTGTGCGCGGCAGTTCCAAGCCTTGATAACAGACTAAGAACTTCAACCTTATCATTCCTGGATTAGATCGTGACGATTTAGGTATGTGTAGTCGTAGTCTCTTGGCGTCTGTAAGCGAAACGCGGGGTAATCATGATAACTTCGCCTATACAAACTGCAGAGAAGATTATCTCGCATTATCAACTGCTCACCTGATAACAATAAGTGTAGGCCACATCGCTAACGGTAAGAGTTGACGAAACGGGAAAGTCTATGAGACCGCGATCATGAACACGAAGCGGGGAACTTAGTGGCTGTACGCGGTAATACATCTCATTGGCCGTCATGCGGCTAGACATCATTGCAAGACGAAAGATCGGCAAGGATCCTTATCGTGGTTCGTGAAGACG